ATTACTTATCAATCAAATATCATCGAAAACTAGGATAATGGCATTCGTTTAAAATACGTGTATAACGTAGGTTACAATAGAGTTCTCGTAATGATATTGTAACTTTGATTAGACATGAAGTTTGTATGCTCATTTGTGATGCCAACATTCAAGACCTATTATCTTATATCTTGTTGGTTTGTTCATAAATTATAGTCTCGCCGTAATCAGCATTGAATCATATTATTTGATTGTATGTTACTTACTACCTGATTGTCAAAGTCAATGTAGACTAAGCGAGGTTAAATGATGAGATTTCATAGTTGAAAGGCAACGGTTTTTTTTCTTTTTCTTTCAACTATTGAAGCATTGAGAATTGGCCTGTTGTAAATTATTGACCTTTTACTACTACTGATTTGCTTTGATCGAATATATTCCTTCGTTTCTAAAAGGAGTCCGATACTAGGATGTAACGACCTTCCAGTGTTTTCTACTTTTCAGTGGTGGTCTAGCTTAGATCGACTCGTGAATTCAACTGTGAAAATACTACAATCTCCACAAACCCCCACTCTGAGAAAAGAACATATGTTGTCAGTTAGCTAACTGGGTCCACACGATGATATTTTATTAGGCTGTTTTTTTTCAAAAATTCTACAGGGTGATGATAAGTTTTTGTGTAATTATGAGAATTACTACTCAAGGAATGTTTAAGTAGATACTCATTATCCTACACACATACACACCACCACCATCACCACCACACACACGCCCACATAGATACAATGGTATATGTCAATGAATAGAATCGATATTTCTTATTAGTAGATAACCACATAATGAATAAAATTTTAGTTTCTTTGTTTTTCTTTTTTCAAAATTCATTTCGACAGTTTAATTAATCTGATGATGGAAAAGGTAAAACAAAAATTGTCTTTCTTGTTTGTTTTTGTTTTAAAAATGGAGACTCATTTATTATTTTGCTAAGAACTTTTATATGGATTAATTTGTCTCTTGTCATTCTACTAAACTGAATGTATAACACGTTGTGTATTTTGTTGTTGATATAATAAGTCCTAATTACTTTCTTAATTAAAACTTTTCATTCTCTGAATCAATATAAGTTAATGAATTATTGAAAATGATGAAATACTAGATGTACATATATACATATGGTGCATACATATGATGGAGTGGTTAAGCGATCACGCACGAGACCGATAAACCATGAGTTCGAAACTTTTGAGGTGGGATCGTGGATGTTCATTGCTGAGCAGTCTCACAATAGGACGAAGTGGCCATCCAGTGCTTTCAGGTTTTCTATGGTGTTCTAGCTTCAACTGACTCATGACCTATATATATGTGGTTTTTTATACTGTTACTTTGTGAATTTCCAGGTTAAACGATGTTGTGATGTGTGCTATTAATGTCGATAGATATAAGTAGTATGTAGCATCAGTCGATAGTGAAATAGCTGGTGATAGAAGGCAAAGAAGATTGACGAAAAGAGAATGAGTATAGTGAATATTTGGTGTGAAAATGAAGGAACAATGAAGTGTGAGATAATTGATTGATATGGTTCTTACATTTTACTAAGAGATCCTGTAATTTTCTATTCAAATACTTTCGATTGTTCCCATTTGTATTAACGTTCATTACAATGTAATTTGGAAAAGAAATCAACCTTTAGAACTACAATCTCCATCATGAACTGGAAATTGTATTTGTACCAAATAAGATTGGTACTAAGTCTGACAACTAATACGACACTTTTTCATTACAACAGCATATGATTTTAAAGAAAAGAAATGCTATGAAAATTAATCAAGTCTCTAGAAACCATTTCCACATATAGAAGGAATGGATATCTTTCATCCTGAATGGGACTCATTGTTTGTACATACCTAGATCCTAGTGGTAATATCTAATTGAAAGCGTGAATTCAGTACATTTCCCCACCAAACATCAACGCGTTATTCACCAAAACTTCTGAGTAGAGGAAGTCATTAACTTGTTTAATTGGTATGATATTTAAATCATCATTGGTAAATGCTTTAGGCATTGAGTTGTAGATATTTATGACTTCAGTCTAATCAGTAGATATGGCAAAGCACTGAATCATAACTGACATAAACACTTAGAAAATATTGTAAATCCTCGAGTCTAGTGAATACAGATTGAATGTTAAATTTCATCCACAAATTTATAACAGAATACAAATCATTTATCAAGTACAGAATACAACACCTAAATTTAAGCCAAATTTTAGGTATATAGACTGCTAGTACTAGCTGACTACCTGAATTGAGCTAACTGATGAAACATTCTGCACTTGTAATTGATTGGTCAAAAGTCAAATAATCTTTGACATCAGTTGAATAGTATCACAAAGGGTTTTGTGAAGATTGTAGTGATTTCAATAGTTGGAACCACCCGTTGATTGAAGCTAGAGCACCATGGAAAACCTGGAAGCACTGGACGGCCGTTTCTTCCCAGTGTGTGACTTCTCGAAAGTGAGCATCCATGACCACGACTCACGGGATTCGAACCCATAGTTGAATAGTTGGACAAAATACTTTCATTGATAAGTCCATTTCTTTCAATCTCTTTCCAATTTATCCTTCTTCTATATACATGTCATTTTTATTAAAGTGAAAAACAACTTATTACATTGTTATACTAAGTTTAAAATTATTCAACCTACGTCGATGAAGGAACTTCTGCACTCTATACGTTCAACGAACAAATTCAGCGAAGCCAGCGCAATTTCCAATCCGACGCAATCAGCACAGCCTGTGCAACATGACATGGACATGTTCAAGTCGTATTATCTTATCGATACTTTGTACTCATGTCAACCATTCTCATTGATCCATTCGTCGGTTTGTTCCATTACGACTCAAATTATCATTATATGCTTATTGATAATGTGTTAGTGTATATCAGGTGAACGGACTGAACACTTTACCGAATTCATTTCATCAAACGTTTTATACAATAATAACTAAAAATTTAAAAGAATGTAATAAATAAAATATATGTAAGAACATTGAAGTATGTAATATGAATGATATTTGATATATATACATGACCAGTATATGAAGTAACTGGTTTGAATCTTCCAAATGATGTTTAGGATTTCAATTAACCAGTTTCTTATTAGCATATAAGCATCTTGTGTAGATTGTCTCCATATTACTTTCAGTCAAAATCATTTTAAGCAAAGATGAATAATGGTTATCAGTAGAATCCAGGACGCTCGTTTTCTTCTGTTCGGGACTTGTCATATCATCAATGGGAAGATTCAAACAACCAATACAAAAATGATTTAAATCTTCAAATTGCATAGGTTAGTGACTTTCAAAATTTGGTAGGTAAGTGGATAAGTCGATGGCGTTTGAATCGAATGGTACTGGGTCTCAGAGTGAACATCAACTTTGGGATGCAAGTGCATCTAGTTGACGAGTCCGAAACAGGGCGGAACGCGCGTCCTGGACTCTACTGCTAGCCACCATTCATCTTTGCTTATAATGCTTGTCGTACATTAAAATGAAAACCTTGTTAGATGATCATTAGAATGGATAATGTAAGAAAATATATGAATAGATCTTCGTAAACATTCTGCAAGCTTAAATACTAGTATATTAAGCCAAGCATCAGTTCGATTTTGATACTTATACGTATGCTACCTATAAGCAATGCTAACCCGTTAGTTGAGTGAGATGATAAAGACAGAATAAGAAGCTGTATTGGCAATCGAATCAAAGATACATGCTAACTCGTTAGTATATTTGTGTGTCCAGTGGATAATTGAGCCAAATCTCAGACAGAAGTGTTCATCCATGGACAACATTCATCTACCATTTGACTCTTCCCTAGCGTATTTAAGTTCAGAAGTTAATGATCAGTTTTTCAATGGAAAACAATAAAGTCCCACAACAGGACGAAACGACCGTCCAGTGTTTCCAGGTTTTTCCATGTTGTTCTAGCTTCAATTGACTCATGATCTCAACTATTGAAATTACATATAACTTATATGAAATGTTAAATAAAGAACAACCAGTGAGAAAATAAAATTTGATATTGACAACAAATATATTTATCGTTGACGATGTCCCAACTTGTGTTAATGTAACTTTCGATAAAAAATTAAATCTATGGATAGATGTAACATTAAACATCTGTCTTTAATAATAATAAGAAGAAGGATAAGAATAAGAATAAGAATAATAAGGAAAACTTCAGCTGTATCTATTTAAGATCTAACTAGGACTGAGACAATGTCATTAGCATGATCACTATAATACTAATCATTTACTTCATTAATTTCAATGAATAAAGGAATAAGATTTTAAGTGTAGTAAGACTCAAATTGTTTTAAAAGTAATAACTCTATATATAGTATGGTATCAGTCAGTCAGTCAGTCAGTCAGTCAGTCAGTAACATCATAGAACTTCGTACGTTCGAACATCAGTTCGAATTGCCATATCACATTAGCACAGAGATGCAGTTGTCGATTCAAATTCCATAGTGGTAGAGGTAATAAGAGTATAAGCAGTAATCGGAAACATTAGAGTTTGAAGATGTTATTCAAGGAGTATAATACAGTGAAATAAATTTGAAAAGAAAGTAGGGGACATGAAGAATTCTGGAGATTAGAATTTGAGAGAACAAAAAGAGTGTATACACCTGCATCATTGCAAACGATTTGAGCCATGTCATTCAGGGTCTCTAACCATCGGTTGCTATCATCTCGCGGTCTCCAACCAGGTAGTCTACACCTACCAACATGGCTCAGTCCACTTGTCAGTGACTTCATGGATTTGTGCCATGTTTTGGTCTGACTGCCCCTAGCTTTCTTCAACCTACTCCTATGACATTGAGCATAGCATAGTATAGTATAGTGGTTAATTAATATTACAGCAATCTCATTAGTACTTTAGTAAACTAAATATTAAGTTATTTCATAATAAAAATACCAAGTAAAATGTATTACGTCATCATGAATGTTAGTTTATTTGTATTAATTTACTTGAGTATAATGTCCACAAACACCATAACAACTCATTGAATAATAACTATACTGTTTATATTCATCTTTCCATGCATCGAATGCTCTAAAATAAGATTAAGAGGAATTAAGAAAAGAATAGTAATAATGATAATGTTAGTTACTGTTCAACTGTTTGATATCCTGCTATATTTTGACCAACATATTCCCATTTATGCGGTAAATTCACATCATTATGATGAAAATAACATTCATTTGCTAAATCTTTAGCTTTTGAAGCTAGTTCATTATCCCATTTCTATTTTACATGTAACATATAATAGATCATGTTACATAAACTTACAAGATCTGGCAGATATTTCGCTGGAGGTTGTCCTTCAAATTTACATTCTGTTAAATTACGTCTAAGATCATTATGATATTGTAGAAGTTTTCGAAGTTGTGGATCATTTGGTTGTGAGAAGACAATGTTTACTTTTATATCAATTAATAATAATAATAAGATATTCATTTTATCTCTGAGAAGTTTGGATAACAGACAATTTATAGAATCTTTTGGAGATAAAAAAAAAAAAAAACAACAAAAAAACCACAACAACCGTACTGTTATGATGTGATTTGGCACATTATACATTTTCATTTCAGCCTATGTATATGAAATGACAGTTCTCTTTCTATTAAAATGATTGTTTGTTCACTATAAGTAGAATAATTTATGTAGCGTTTTAGGTTGTGGTATTTTTAGTGCAATCCATGTTGAAATCAAACATGTGGTTCTTTCAACTTGAAGTTTTTATCGTTTCAATTGAATTATTTAGTTTATTCATATGACTGTATAACTTATTTATTTACACCTGTTACTCCTCGTCAAAGAGCATAGGCAGCCAACCATCAGTCTGCTATGGTGGCGTAGAGAGATGAGATGGTGTTTGGAGGTAGTCAGCAGGAAACCCTGGACCCAGGTCGTGTGCTACTTGTAATCTTGAAGGAACTGGTTCGATCTCGTGTTACCCAGCTTCACAGTGAGAGACGTTACCACTGAGCTATCCGGGCCGTGACCAACCTCCTGTAGGACTGAGATGTAGTTACAATTGATTGATCACTGGGTGGTGATCAATGTCATGTGTGTCAATTCCCGGGTCTAGGGTTTCCTGTTGACTACCTTCAACCACCATCTTATCTCAACATAGGACACGTGGTGTCGAGTCACCTAGACTAGTGGCCACATTGCGACTTGATCGATAGCATTCGATCTGCACTCAGAAGGACTTGACACACATGACATTGATCACCACCCAGTGATCAATCAATTGTGGTGGTGGTCTAAAATTTGACTCGAGGTAGATCATTTGCTGCTTGTTATCAAGTTATCGAAATATACATTTCACAATTCCTTACAAATAATTGTTGACTTAACTCGGCATAGTGTGCTATTTGATCTTCCTGTTATTTGTTTCCCTTCAGGATTCCAAGTTACTGCTTGACTGTTGAAGCAACTATAGGATTTCCTCAATTTATGACTTATTTTCCTAATTTCTTCTTCAGCTACCACCCGGTATTATTAAAAGTTCAGATCTCATCTTTTAAAATAGTTTCCACCAACTGGATATTTATGTTTGTCTGTTTCTTTTACCTAGTCAATAACATTATCATAGCCTCTACAAATATTATCAGATTAGTTTTCAGCTCCATATGGATGAAGACTTAAGACAATGTAAGAATCAATGATACTCTATCCATATTAGTTTTATTTGTTTATTTTCACCTCATAGACCGATTTTATTTACAAAACCATTGAAACCTATATGCACTGCTTACCAGTTTCGTTTGAATATCGGTACTTTAATGGTCATGATTTCATTTCGAATGGAATCTAGGACGTTAAGATAGTGTACTGAGCACTTAACCTTTAGATAAATGTGCTGGGTGCCAACAGTTCACATATCTGACTTCAGTTAATTTGCGATATTTTATTCATCCAGTCTCAAATATATTTTGTCAGTAAGTCACTAGAATAATTAGAAATTATTTCCACATGGGTAATCTATTCAAAGTATCAGTCATTTATTATAGTTACAGCATAGCTAGATATCCAATGTATCCACAGTCTCCTTGCTTTTAACACAAATAATATGGACAAGTGCATGACACATTGATACATTCAATAATTTTATTTACCTTATCGTCCATCCTTTGCATCTCTACTTTAATCCAAAAAAGAAAAAATCTATACAATGAATATTCAATAATCACACAAGAAGGGATAAGTATTCAGTAGTTATTGGTATTTTATTTATTAATTAACAAAGCAAATTGGAGTATAGTTTTTTGTTAATGCAAGCATTCCCGAATTAAAAAGAAGAACATTTTCTGGAAACAAGATATTGTAATGAAAAAAGCGATATATACACAAAGTATCTATGTATCTCGAATGATGAGGCATCCATGTGTCGATTACACCAAAATAATATTGTCAAAGCAAATCCATCTTTCAATTAATCACAATGATATATTGCAGTTAGAAAACACTACTCGGCTTTGGCTAGAAGAAACATTACTGACTAATAGAAGTAGGTTAGTCACATCATTCAACATTAGATAGTTTCCGAGATAAATAACGTTACACACATTACCCTACATAAATAAGATTGTATGATCAGAAGAGTATTAATTACTGTATTATGTAGAAATAGCTATGCAGAAATAACACGAATTACATAGGAGGACATTAAAATAAAAGGAAACTAACTCAAACTATTGAATACAAATGAGTAGTATAGAAAAAAACGGAACAAAGAGTAAGCTTAGAACAATCGTCATTGAGTGAAAAGTATTTGAAATTTTACTATGTAGCATAGGGCTGTAATTAAACTCAACTCGATTTCATAATCATGTCAGTCTGCTTAGCGACCAATCAGAATGAAGCGGGAATTATTATATCTGCCATATTTGTAAGCAGTGGCGGTCGGCTTTCCTCTCTGTTTTTTTACCGCTATCTCTTTTGTGTAGCTGCATAATTTAATGTTTCAGTGTGCAGAAATTACTCGGTTGATGTAATACATCAAGTGTTATCGCAAATTGTCATTGGGTAAGATTTATTTTATCGGTTTTCGCTATGGCTATTTAAGTCAAAGTATTTCTTCAGTCAATCTCGCTTGTTTTATGTTATAAGATGTTCGTCCGTTTTGTTTTGAGTATTATATTGGATAGGCAATCAAGCTACGGGCAATCATAAACTATGCAATTAACTAACAACTATATCCAATCTGTTAGAATGCATCGCAGCGAATGGATGATAAGATCGAAGTGAAGCAAAAGGAAATATGAACAGAGCGTAATTGTATTAACAACCGGAATCAGAGGATGATGAATTGTGAAAGAGAAAATGGTGAGACTATAATTTATGGACGACCTTTGAGCGACGCTAGATTGACCTTGACAGGGTCTACCTACTTACTAGGGCTAAGTGAGGGTTATAAAGCAAGCAGTTTGAAGCATAACTATTATGATTTACAGTGGATGGTTAATGTTAGGAATTACATTTATGGTTTTTCATCACGAACTGACATCAGCTATAATGCCAAGACTCTATTTAGCCAAATGGGTGAATGAATTTCATGCCAAAATCTCAGACTTGAAGAATTTAATGGATGGTTTCTGTATTTTACTAAGACATTCTGAGTTTTGCTTTAACTGATAAAATTGGTTTCTCACATGTCTTTAAAATTAGACATTTATCCTAATAACAGAAAAAACAACATATACAGTACTATGTTTCCAATCAGGAGATATGACCAACATTATTCACATATAGACGTTTATAAATAACAAGATGATAGCAGCACTCCCTCGGTTAATTACGATTATGGTTAATTTCTATCAAGCCCTTTTATGAACTTATTCAACAGACAATGTTATTCGGATAGTAAAAATTGGTCTCTTGCTTTGTATTATTATTATGATCACTATCATGTCTGTATAAACGTGTACGCTTGACCACATGTGACAGCCTACTCACATATCTCAAGCATAAATGGTGATGGCTTAATTATCGCTCGATGAATCATTCTCTTTTCCACGTATATATGTGATTGAATCCTGTTATTTTGGTGGAGAGATATCAATACACGTGGATAACTACGGACACTCATTCGATTGGGAAAATGTAGAAATCTTAGACAGAGCAAACTCCAAAAACACCAGAGAATTTTTAGAAGCCTGGCATTCAGGTCAATCAGCAATCAACAAACATAATGAAATCAATCCAATTCATCAACCAATCAGGAAAATAGTGCATAAATATAGGAACAAAAATCAAACCAATGGGAGACACAACCAAAACAAAGAAGTAAACAAAGATAAATTTAAGGTCAAGAAGAACCAATCAACATCGAGGTGCACAGAACAAGCTGTGAAAGACATATGGAGAAATTCGAACACTTCGCTTCTATCTGAAGTTTGTGCTGATGATATCGTTCAGAAGAACGATGAAAGCTCCACGACCAAACCATCCACCTCAGAGAACGAAACTCCACCAAAATCATCCATCTGAGCAACAAATCTTCCCAACCATCTCAATCCTGTTAGTAGACGTTTCCTTGCCTTGTCTTGCCTTTCCTTGTTACCCTGCTGTTCCTTAATTCGATTTGACTATGAATTCATCCTTGTATTCGCTCGCTCGCCCGCTCACACACATTAGGCTCTCTGCACCAATGCGATCGATGTGCTTGTAATTTTGTTATCTGCGCTATCCTCTAATAAACTGTGGTCACCGCTTCTTATTTGTCTTCTGAATACAAAAACCACTGGGATTAATGTAATAGCGGTTATCAAGGCGATTGATTAACGAGGCTAAGTCACAATTAGTCTCCACGTTAAACCTTGATTTCTTTACACAGTCAGTGACACCAAATAAACAAAAAAAGTCACTGTTTGATGTCAATTGGAATATATGTGACAGTAGATGAGACATTAGATCATGGATCTGTCGAAGTTAAACATTAACATCTTTGGATGCTAGCTCAGTGGTCTACAGAATAAACGTTCACGTGCGACACACAAGGTCCTGAGTTCGATTACTGCATAAAGGATCGTGCATATGAACTGTTGAGGAGTCACATACCAAGACGAAACGACCGTTAAACTTTTCCTAGCTTCTCACTTCTGATCTAGTTTAGATCGACCCATGAATTCAACTATCACAGTACTACAGTATCCACAAATCACCATTCTCATAAATTTATTTCAGTTCAAATATTGCTTAATGGCATAGAATGTCACACATTACTAATTTCAATGAATAAACAAAATCTCTCAAACAAATTCGTCCAAACTAATATTGTTGTAATGTACACAAATGTTCGTTGGATTTAGAGAAACACAGACAAAGAAACTATGAAAGCAAATTCAACATTCTTCCTGTTAATTAAAACTAGTTCAAGCATAATTACCTCACAATAATTACCTCACAGTATAATCATGTGGAATTGATAAGGTTCCACATATCACGCATTGATTATCTATCTCATCTATATTATCATCTCTATTCATCACTTCTCACCTATTCTACAAGGTATAATTGAATTAATGAATGTTTCTTATTAGAAGGCATATATACTGCACTGGTCAGGTCACATTTCCATCTTATATGACGGGTTCAATAAACAAGATAATATTGTTTGACTAATGGTGGTGATTCTTGTTCAACAGTCCATCCATTTTCTATTTCAATATAGTGATTATTCAGAGTGAAATTTGGCTTGATTTGCCTGTGTTCATATTTTATTCAATATAACATTAATTGATTTGATACATCATACATGTATTGTTGTGTAGTGACTCACGTTTATCACGAGAACACGACTGGTTTAATAAAAACAATTATTATTATAACCAACTGTACCAGTGTTTGTTTTAATGTGCTTTTGTTTGACTGTGCTAATGACAGCTATTTTGTGCTTCCATTCTTTACTTACACTTCGATTGTAACTTCGCGCGAATTCGGTTACCTTCTGTAACCAAGGTTGTATCCTGGCACGATCTCGGTATCCTTTCGATGCCACGAGATCGCCAGCTAATAAACCTCGACTTGGTCCATTAATTGCCTTCTGGTATTCGGCTTCTCGGGGATTTTATGGAGTCATTTGGAACGAGCTTCTTACGCCTTCTGATTTGTCTGGCACGTGTTTCTTGGTAGCGGTGTTCATAGTTAATTTCAACTCGACGCCACGCTACATTGGTGACCCGTATTTTGGAACACGCCTCAACTTCTGATCAAATCTTCCAAAGAAGCCAATTCGGTGAGTCTATGATTTATCTATCCACGTCTGTCGTATATTTTCATATTTTTTAATATATAATATACGCGACATGACGGATAACGATAAGAATAGTATTAATATAATAGACTCACACGTATGTGTACCGAATCCTTGTCACTTTTTATTCGCGTGATGATGAATTCCACGCTTTATTCGAGAAATGTTACCCTATTAACGATTCTCCTCGCTGACCCGGCTGCTTGGTACGGAATGCATACGCATAAGCATATCCGTCTACCACCCAGCACCAAATGGTTAAGTAAACGGTTTCACTGCCAACTTAAAAGTGTTCTACGAGCACACGAAAACGGCAACTGGCACGAAACCTTACCGCTCGTTCTTTTAGGGATCAGAACGAGCTTAAAGGCAGATATCCAATGTTCCGCCCTGAACTTGTATACGGCACGACATTGCGTCTGCCCGGAGAATTCTTCACACCACGGAGCAGACCTAATTTCGGTAAATCAGACTACGTCCATCGACTGTCTGCATTTATGCGAACGCTGTCTCCGGTGTCAACTCGAATACAACATCGACAGGTCGCTCTCCCTCGAGAGTTATCTACCTGTTCACATGTTTTTGTACGAGTAGATTCGGTACGCAAACCTTGGCAACAACCTTACGAAGGCCCTTTTCACGTGATCGCTCGTCACGAAAAGACCTTCAAGGTTGATCGATATGGACGCGTCGAGATCGTCAGCATTGATCGTCTCAAACCAGCACACGTCGATGACAGTGCCCTATCTGATAACCTGAGATTCAATGCTAGACCTATCAAACCTAGCGGGATCCTTAAATCTTCTTCAGGTCCCACGCTAGATACATCTGAGACCTCATTCTCACGTCCCGGTCAACAGCACGCGTCATCTGCACCGTCTACGGACGAGACGACAGTCTCACGTCCAGATCAGCAGACCACGCCGCCTCTGACTTCGGATGAGATTGCAGGCTCACGCGACGCGAACGAGACTACCGTCTCACGTTCCGGTCGCCGAGTACGGTTACCCGTACGCTTCCGCGACTAGCCGCACAGTCAACAACCGATACGGTGTAGGATTATTCCTATACTACACGCATGCTACACTCTTCTTTTTTTGATTTTCTTTTTGTTTCCTGAGCCCACGCCTTCGACCATCTCCGTTTGGTTCCGTCGACTTCAGTCAACTTTGGCGAAAGCTGGCCTGATCACCCATGCTCTTGTCAACGCACTCAGTCGATATATTGGTTTCGAATGCTTGGCACACGCTTGGTCTCGAACTTGGTCGTTATGGTCGCTTCTGGTCTTTTGGCTCAACGTGGTTTCGTCCTACGTCTGCAGCGTTTCTGGTGCGCACCTCTACGAACGCCCTCTTCAGATTCTGGATACAAACCACTCTGGTGTAGCATGCCAACTCAAGCAATAAATACAACACATCGCTCCTGGTACCGTTCTCCGAAAACGACCTTCGTTGGCAACTCGACGATCAACGATCGCTTTCCTGTTCGCCAATTCTTCCGTCCTACAATCGCTCGTCAGCCGATCAGTCCCACGATTCAAACCGCTATTTATCGAAAGTGTAAACCCTTTCTAGCGGGGGGCTCCTGTAGTGACTCACGTTTATCACGAGAACACGACTGGTTTAATAAAAACAATTATTATTATAACCAACTGTACCAGTGTTTGTTTTAATGTGCTTTTGTTTGACTGTGCTAATGACAGCTATTTTGTGCTTCCATTCTTTCCTTACACTTTGATTGTAACTTCGCGCGAATTCGGTTACCTTCTGTAACCAAGGTTGTATCCTGGCACGATCTCGGTATCCTTTCGATGCCACGAGATCGCCAGCTAATAAACCTCGACTTGGTCCATTAATTGCCTTCTGGTATTCGGCTTCTCGGGGATTTTATGGAGTCATTTGGAACGAGCTTCTTACGCCTTCTGATTTGTCTGGCACGTGTTTCTTGGTAGCGGTGTCCACAGTTAATTTCAACTCGACGCCACGCTACAGTTGAATGAACATGGACAATGCTGAGTATGTCATGTAGTGTGTGATTTTGTTATCAGCTTGAATATTCTTCATATATGTGATCTCATTGTAATGAATAATCGAAATGGGTGTATGAATGAATATATTGACGAGTGGATATTCGACTCCAGCGGTTGTTGTTGTCTTGTTTTGGTGTTATGTAGTCTTCAGTTATAGATAGAAAGCTAATTAGAATATTCAGACGAAACTTTCTCACCTAAATCTGTCAATCAGTCAACTTATATCTACGAAACAGATTAGTGGTGATATCTACCTTCATTTTAGTGATTTGTACCATTCTTCTATATGTCAAGCCTCTCACACGATTTATCTCATATTCATATATATTGGAGGGAATTTCATGTCTCAACATTGTTCAAAACGTATGTTTCAAAACATCTGAATTACAAGAATAATTCTTATAACCTGAAGACATTTCGAAGCTTTTTCTTCAATAATAAGTAGCACAAATAATGAAACATTCTACTATATGAGGTTGTCACGGTTACTTGTTTTGAATTCAGTTCTAGGTGGATGATTTTAATGGAGATGTTGTTTACTTTTACATTCACTGATTCCTTGTTCGATCTTCCATCAACAAATATAGATTAGTTAAGTAAATGAAGTAAATATTTGTATTGGAACCTGATTCTTCCTCTTCTCATTCATTTGAAATGAATGAATTCTTACTACACACATAACGATTGTCTATGTTCATTAGTGTTACGATACATCATTCTAGATGTGAAGCTGTTCACTCTAACTCATTCTATGAAAATCACATCAACACAGTACTACAATGACATGTCTTCGTAATTTCCGATATTCTGTATTGAAAACTAAATCCAATAAAATCTGTCATGGTGTAGTCCGCATTTGGTCTGTTTCACGCCCCTCATCATTTGTTCATATCAAATCTTTTAACCGAATGTTGATGTGAAGAATTCACGTGCTGTTGATATTACTACTACACACCTAATTTTACAAACTAAAATTTTCCTTGTACGTTATCTAGTATCCTATTGTGCTGCTTAACTTTGAAGAAGCGATTTCACTGTACTGAGAAGAGTAATCCAGACACTTGTCAGACGTTGTAATAATCATGCTTATGCATAAATATTTCATTAACTTGTAAACAAATAATGGTAAGTTGTATACGATCAGATACAAATCATTCCCTGAACATACACATTTTCCACTCTATGGGGATTGTTGTCTATCTGACGAACAGTTTAACAAAACCGACTTAACCGAAACGCTATACTTATGCATGATCAGGAAGTTAATCCTTGTAAAGATTCATGGTTTCTCAAACGAAAATATCATTAAACTAGACACAATGATTTTGTGTACAGGGAATAGGAGAATTGAGTTGAAATATATTGTAAGCTAAGGATTTACTGTTGAATTACATGTTTAATATTGAATGAAGTGATTATTGTTACTAGTTACATTGATGAGCTGAATAAACGTGAATTCCAGTCAACACACAATACAACATACACTATACACAATACACATACAGAGATGAAATAATCAACACATAATGAACGTATTCATTAAATGTATGATTCCAATGACACTTGCCAACATCGTTTCTCACTCACCACATGGATAACAAAACACAAAGCAATATGGTTTGAATGAAATATATTCAATTGTAAGTTATAAGTTATGACTAATTGCTACACACATACATATAGTTGAGTAATATCAACACAAAATAGTCCTGCATATCAATGGAAGTAAGTAATGAGTATATATTGAGAGAAGGTTTTGGGTTACAGAAGTGAAAACAAAGTTGAAAACAGATACGTGTAATAGATATGGAGGCACCAATTATATTTGCCGAATAAATTCAACCAATTTCAGTATCGTAATTCTACCATTATGTCGTTGAACATTGCCATTCCACTTCATCACGAACGCTCTTTGAAAATTGTTAAAGTCTTTCCGGATTCCATTTACGCTTGTATTACGAGATAATGAAAATTTTATAGAATAGGTTGACTGTTGCGTTGTGTAACTCTACTTCCACTTGAACCGGTCTTGACACTTGTGGTTGACATTCACTATTGATAATGCTGCACGCAGTGTATCATCACGCCTCGTTTGAAAACTGTCTTTAGGAATATTCTGCATTTTTGGGCACAATTCACGTGATTTCACTTCATATGGTTTCTCATTATTCCAATTACCACTAAAACAGTCAACACAATAGAAATTCAGTTACATTCACTATGAGAACAACAACAAGGTGATTGCAAACAATACCACCTCTTCACACATCATCAAGAGCAATCACTTACCCTGGACCATAATTACACACGATTGATAGACCGTTCTTTGGACAACTCGCAACTCCACATCCAATGTCTGTGGTCTTGGCCCAAACCATCTGAAACGGAATATGAACAAGGAAATAATGTGATCGTTCGGTAGGCCAATTGCAAGGCATTTCCACTATGTTTCAACCTGATGTGAGTAAATACATTACTTATAGATGATGGAGATAATGTTGTCAACTGAAGGAGATACACGTGGAAATTCCAGTATGTGTTGAATGAGTATGTTTACACTTGGTGCAGTTATGATAACTAGTTGAATTCTGCAGAACACTCACTCACTCAATTAATCAATCAATCAATCACACTCTCACTCTCCCACTCATTCTGTCTCATGTCAACCAACAGTCGAAATCATTTCACCCATCACAACATCGTCATCTCCCATCTATACACAATGAATTTCTGTTGAGTAGATTGCAATATTGTGTTTGTGTGTTCACACTAGTGTTACATAGTGTTGACACATTGATTAGGATTTGAATGCACTCGTCAGTCTTAGTACATACTGGTCAGAGACAAATTTCCTATCTGTTGTTTTCCACCGAATCACCTCAACTCTCAACAAAACACACAGACTCAAATATGATCAAGCGTCGTGGATACCTGTGTGCATAACTGCAATGATCGGATTACGTGCATTTACATGTGTTTTTCAGTCACTCCTGTAGAAAAGTGAAACCACTTGATTGTTATCACACATTCCTGGTGCATTATAATAGGTGTGAATGGTGAGTGGCAAATGACTGTGGGTATGTTGAACTATGTTGAAGTGGATGAAAATGGACTTACTTGTGTGTAATGCAAACATTCCATACACTTGTTTCGAATGTAGTTGTAGAATTTGTGCTCATTGAACCAAGCATCTACTCCTCTGAATCAGAAAACAGTGAATTGAATAGAAATGAGCTTACGACTTAATGGTTGGATGGAGAGCAATATTTTGTCCAACCCAAGAGAATTCATCCGAATGAGGTGTGTCGTGTTGCAAGATGCATTTGTTCGCCAATTTTTGTGCTTGTGCAGCCAGATTGTAATTCCATTTCTACAAATAAGCGTTACGTATATTATTTGAAGAAATTATTGAATAGTGAGTGATTTACCAATGGTGACATATATTTAGCTGGAGGTTGTCCATCAACTTTACAATCAACCAAATCCTGTCTGTATTTTCTATGCAGTTCGAGTATTTCTCGACTATTCGAATCCAAATGTTGGTTGCAAGATGCACTTTTAGAAAAGAACAATATAATGGATAATATAGATGAAAGACAGAGAAAATTTGATCGCATGTTTGTTGAAGTTTTTACTTGATTACGCATTATGAAATGTTTTACGATATATATATACATATATTTCTGATAAGTAAAGCGAATAAAAGATAAATAATTAATATGTGTGAAATTTTTTGTACATTAGATATCAAGATATTTAGAATATTCACAAGAAATACTCTCTTCTAGGTCAGTCAGTCACTCAAACCAAACGCCACTCACATACCGCATATTATCTTGTGTTCCGATTGAAATTCTCTATACATAGACATTGAATGAGTTGTGTGAACCTATTGAAAAATAAACACATTAGATCTAATGTCTGTCTATTGTGATCCATTGTGTCCGTCACATACAACCGATTATTGACATTTGTCATCGTGAACAATGCACCGATCACATTGTTTGTGAATTAATCTAACGGAATTTCACAATATTGAGTTTAATTACACTTGGTGATCAAAATATCTATCCACACATCTATCTATCTATCTATCTATCTATCCACACATCTATCTATCTATCTATCTATCTATCTATCTATCTATCTATCTATCTATCTATCTATCTATCTATCTATCTATCTATCTATCTATCTATCTATCTATCTATCTATCTATCTATCTATCTATCTATCTATCTATCTATCTATCTATCTATCTATCTATCTATCTATCTATCTATCTATCTATCTATCTATCTATCTATCTATCTATCTATCTATCTATCTATTATCTATCTATCTATCTATCTATCTATCTATCTATCTATCTATCTATCTATCTATCTATCTATCTATCTATCTATCAATAGTGGTGTACTACACAGACTGACATTACAATTTACTCACCTCTAGATTATGTAGTTGGGTTGATATTTTAAATCCCTCCAATATTCTCTTAAGCAGATCAGAATTTCCAGTACGTGAACAGTTCTGAACAGTCCACACTCATCATATAAAATTTGACATTTCGCAATGATCTCATTATTGACATTACGGATAAAATTCAACGGCCCAACTATTATAATCCGTGAAGCAATGAATGAGATTGTACTGTTTTCGCATATTCCATTACTTATCAATTAAATATCATCGAAAACTAGGATAATGTCATTTGTTTAAAGTATGTATATAACGTAGGTTAGAATAGAGTTCTCGTAATGATATTGTAACTTTTATTACACATGAAGTTTGCATGATCATTTGTGATGCTCATTCATTAATTATTGATCTCAGAGAACTTGATCGTATTCTCGTTTTTAAACGTAAGGAAACCTACTTAGACAATTATGTTAATCAATAAGATTTAATGGAATAACTAGTAGGATAAAAGTGAGTTCAAATACAATGAAGTGATAAGTGAATAAAAGGAACAATCATGTTGGTTTCAAGCGATATTCCATAGTTCATATGGTTAGTAATTTGAAATGACATCGCATTCATAAAATGTCATCATAAGGTGCTTGTATTTATTACGTAAGAAATTTCGAACTGTCAATACAAATGAGGGAATAATGTAGCTCACTTTATTCGTTTCCATGTCATTCAACCTTGTATTATAAAGATCTATGATCCATAGTTCATGGAATCAAATATTCGTTTGTTGTTTTGTTTGTTTTTAAAATCAGGAACCATATTCGGATAACAAATCTGTTCTTGATTATGGATGATGATTACATTGTAATAAGTATTCAATGGATGATTGTGTTCATTTATTACACAAGCTGGAAATTAGTTAAATGTTTATTCCTGAGTGACACAATTATAAATGTTAATTTCTTCATTCGATTGTGGACTATGTTCAATTCAATCTTCAACCTACACATGGTGCATATTTGTGGTTCAATCACAATTCAACAATCGTGATACGATGATTTGTATGGTGATCTATTGGTATCCTAATACATAGTTCGAACGATTGTATTCAGGGTCATTCCGACATAAAGTAGAAGTGTAAATTTAATATAGCTATGTTTCCAATTGTAAATTAGTGTCAATTTGTTCATGTCTGTAATGTTCAAAAGTATTTCATCGATAGTCTGACAACAACTTGTTGGTGCAAAACACTTAAATCAATATCAATATATACATGTTAGTAATACCGATATGATTCCTGATTTGACTTCATCTACAGCACCCGTTTACCAACTTTACTTGTTCTATTTTATACAAATGTGATCATTTCAACTCATGAGACAGTAGTTTGTTTGACTGGAAAGATTGTGTATAGAAAAAGCAACTGCACAAGGACAATGATTCGAGTGCATTCCAGTGGCAGTGAATTGTAAAATGTAGTTAAATATGTGATGGCTATTTACGGAACTTATATGCACGAAACAGATTAGTGGTGATATCCACCTTCATTTTAGTGATTTATACCATTCTTCTATATGTCAAGCCTCTCACATGATCAATCTCATATCCATATATATTCGAGTCAATTTCATCTCTGAATATTGCACTTAAACCTGAAGACATTTTGAAGCAATTCCTTCTTCTTCTTCTTTTTCAACGATAGGATTATATTGCTTATCATCTATTAAAAAACAACTCTCCTAGCCCAGTAAGCATCAGATTACATACTAACTAACATACTACTTATTTCACGTTAATCTATGCACTGACAATCAAAATCAATCAACATTGGTATTCAATGAATTATTCAATGTTTCACAGATTCACAAGAATTACTCTCTTCTGGGTCAGTCAGTCACTCAAACCAAACGCCACTCACATACCGCATATTATCTTATGTTCCGATTGAAATTCTCTATACATAGACATTGAATGAGTTGTGTGAACCTATTGAAAAATAAACACATTAGATCTAATGTCTGTCCATTGTGATCCATTGTGTCCGTCACATACAACCGATTATTGACATTTGTCATCGTGAACAATGCACCGATCACATTGTTTGTGAATTAATCTAACGGAATTTCACAATATTGAGTTTAATTACACTTGGTGATCAAAATATCTATCCACACATCCATCTATCTATCTATAGTGGTGTACTATCACAGATTGACATCACAATTTACTCACCTCTAGATTATGTAGTTGGTTTCATATCTTCAATCACTCCATTATTCTCTTAACCAAATCAGAATTTCCACTACGTCAACAGCACTGAACAGTCCACACTCATCAGATAATATTTGACATTTCACAATGATCTGATCATTGAATTCATTTATGTCTAATATAATCAGGCATTTTTACGGTGAATTTCGTTAAATTCATCGGGCTAGATTGTTTCACCATTTTTTTACCGGTTCAGTTCTTGTCTTAATATGGATTATTTCAAAATTACCGTGCTTTCTCTCTTTGTGGGTAGTAATGTTTGCGTTAGTATAAATCGATTTTTATCGGTTGAGCATCAAGTCCCAAACAATCTACCTAAACGAGCATGAGAATCGTTCCATATTCGATCAAATACTGAAAATGGAAGATGTGTTTTTTTCAAGGAGATTTAGTCAACGACTATTTTTCAGATGAGTCAATTCATAGATAGACCACATATTACAAATCGATTCTTAATTTACCCATCAAGCTTTATCGATTAACATAGATTTGCGTTGACTTCACATTTCTCTTACTTTGTATAGTACTCAGATGATCTAGTAAAATTGTCACTTGACAATCTATACGAAAATGTTAAACCAATCAAGGTAATCGGGGTCAATAATCACAATGAAATAGAATAAGTCACTACACATCAATAGGTAAAAGTACAAGTTGATAGTACGAAGACAGGTGAACAGTAGTGGTAAGAATAATAAACTACAATAACAAAGCCTTATCAATAGTTAATGGTTGGAAATAGAAGGTCAAATAAACATGGGAAATAGACTAGGAATAGTAATCAAAAATTAAAAATCATTACGTAATAATTGTGTAAATAATTACCTTGATTGTTAACTTTTCGTATAAATATCATGTATATTAGAGTAAAGCCTGATGACGATCTAATTGAAAACAATGTTCGCTTATATGTGTTGTTCTAATTTTCACATGGGAATCTTTAATACTTGACAATCTATAACAAATTTTACTGCCACTCTCTTTAATGACTTTTGTAATTAAAAGAGCTATATACAAGAAGGATAGGTCTTTCAATAAATTCTCATCCTATTCTGTAGTCATATATCCAAATTAATAATACATAACAATAGTTTACTATGAGGGAAATATATGGTATTAAAAAATTACAGTATGCAGGTATAGCATAGAACTAGAAACGAAGGCTCATGACACAGTGAGTTGGAGAATACTGATCGTTAGCCTATACTTCATAAGTAAACAAAGGAGTAAAAGTATGTAGATGTAAGAGTATTTATAAAATGAACTAGAATTTTAACATTCACATGTCTTGAATGAATTAGAAACTTGAATGGTACTGGATTATGCAATAAAAAACAACAAGATTTAAATTTATTAGTAATGGTTGTTTAAATCTTCTCATTGACGTTTAAGATTGTCTAATATGTATCTTATTCAAATTGTCTTGACACTGCCATTCATTCACAAAGACTGTAAATGGGGATGAATGATGGTTATTGTTATTATTAGCTTTATTCAATATTATATTATTGGTACAATATAGAATTCTCAGCGTAAAGTATTTCAACAAGTCTCCGTTTCTTTCTTCTTGGTCGGTCCTCGCGATAAATATTGAGTGATCGCCAGTAAGATGTTAGCAGTCCAGGAAATGAACATCTGAATAATGTACGTTCTTTTCGTTGTACATTGCTAGCAACCACATTCTCTCTTTTTGAGTTTTTTGTAACTTTGACAACGAAAGGTTGTACACTTCTCAGAAACGCAGCAGAATAGGTTGTGCGATTAATAGACATAATGATATATTAAAACAAACAAAAATAGATAACTTGTTGAAATATCTAGATGACAGGAACAGGTAGCCCAGATGCTCAAGCAGGCCGCTTTGATATGGTTAGTGATAGTATACGTATATTGTTTGACCGATTAAGAAATATGTGATGATTAGTAGTATTTGAATTGTAGTATGAACTAAGAATCTCAGAAATAACATAATCGGATAAAAAAAAATACTAGATAACCACAAACGAATGTACGGTATTTGGAATTCGTAATCAAGCATTCAACAAGTACAAAGGAATCATTCGTTTATTCATACACCACAAAATGATATGAGACAATTTATAAATTCATATGGCTGATTGTTATGAAATGAAACTGGAAAAGTTTATTTATATAGAATGATAACTATCTAATTTTCCAGCCTAATTATGATATTGAATACATTTAAGCATTAAATAACTAACAATTGCAGAAATATTGTTTCGCAAAAAAGAAGAAGGAAAACAGAATACATTTTGTACAATTTAGTATGTATATTGCATTACTGATAATTATATAAATGAGCACAACATTGAATCAATGGGAAATATAATAACAAATAGAACCATTCATTGATAAATTTGGCTCAGGTAAAGTTTTATTTATCATTTGAATGTTCATATGATTTCCAGCATTTGAACCCGTATCCAGTGAAACCGTTCGCTCATTCAACACATTTGACAAGGTAAATTCATCCAACTGACTAATTGTAGATGGAACAAAAACCTCATTGTTCGTATTTTCAGCACTTGGGCAGAATTCACGAGATCTCACTTCATATGGTTTCTCATTATTCCAATTACCACTAAAACAGTCAACACAATATAAAACATCAGTTACATTCATTATGAGAACAACAACAAGGTGATTGCAAACAATACCATCTCTTCACACATCATCAAGAGCAATCACTTACCCTGGACCATAATTACACACGATTGATAGACCGTACTTTGGACAACTCGCAACTCCACATCCAATATCTGTAGTCTTGGCCCAAACCATCTGAAACGGAATGTGAACAAGGAAATAATGTGATCGTTCGGTAGGCCAATTGCAAGGCATTTCCACTATGTTTCAACCTGATGTGAGTAAATACATTACTTATAAATGATGGAGATAATGTTGTCAAGTGAAGGAGATACACGTGGAAGTTCCAGTATGTGTTCAATGAGTATGTTTACACTTGGTGCAGTTATGATAACCAGTTGAATTCTACAGAACACTCACTCATCCTCATCACCACTCACTCATTCATCACAATAATAATCAATCAATCACACTCTCACTCTCCCACTCATTCTGTCTCATGTCAACCAACAGTCGAAATCATTTCATCCATCACAACATCGTCATCTTCCATCTATACACAATGAACTTCTGTTGAGTAGATTGCAATATTGTGTTTGCGTGTTCACACTAGTGTTAACACTAGTGTTGACACATTGATTAGGATTTGAATGCACTCGTCAGTCTTAGTACATGCTGGTCAGAGACAAATTTCCTATCTGTTGTTTTCCACCGAATCACCTCAACTCTCAACAAAACACACATACTCAAATATGATCAAGTGTTGTGGATACCTGTGTGCATAACTGCAATGATCGGATTACGTGTATTTACATGTGTTTTTCAGTCACTCCTGTAGAAAAGTGAAACCACTTGATTGTTATCACACATTCGTGGTGCATGATAATAGGTGTGAATGGTGAGTGGCAAATGACTGTGGGTATGTTGAACTATGTTGAATTGGATGAGAATGGACTTACTTGTGTGTAATGCAAACATGCCATACAGTTGTTTTGATTGTAGTCGTACAATTTGTGCTCATTGAACCAAGCATCTACTCCTCTGAATCAGAAAACAGTGAATTGAATAGAAATGAGCTTACGACTTAATGGTTGGATGGAGAGCAATATTTTGTCCAACCCAAGAGAATTCATCCGAATGACGTTTGTCGTGTTGCAAGATGCATTTGTTCGCCAATTTTTGTGCTTGTGCAGCCAGATTGTAATTCCATTTCTACAAATAAGCGTTACGTATATGATTTGAAGAAATTATTGAATAGTGAGTGATTTACCAATGGTGACATATATTTAGCTGGAGGTTGTCCATCAACTTTACAATCAATCAAATCCTGTCTGTATTTTTCATGCAAACTGAGTATTTCTCTACTGTTAGCATCTAGGCTACCATTTGCATAAATCACATTAACAAAAATGATTATTATATATACGACGTATGTTGCTTTCTTTTCACGTAAGTACATGATGTTTGTTTTTTATTCTCCTCATGGTTTTCCGAATAGTTTGTGTTTATATATATAATCTCTATGTCATTTAGTCTTCATTCACTACCTATTTGACATTTTTATATCCATGAATGGCAGTTTATTTCTTCCTATTACCGTTTTTTAATAACGACTGATTAAAATGCTTTATTTTATTCCATTAGAAATATCCGTTTTATTATGAATGAGTTACATGGATATGAATAATGGCAATCAAATGATATACTCAGAGGTTTGAATCTAAAATTTATTTTAAATTAGAATGATTGAAACTTCCATAGTTTGAATAAACATTCACTTCTATTCAGATCACAATACAAAAATATTCAAAAATGAGTAGGTCGTTCGAACTGTGCAAAGTACTTTCGAGAAATTAAGACAATTTCTTCTTAGAGTTTCATTAATTACTAACAACTATTAACACTTTAAAAAGCCAATTACACGTTGCTCATATTCATGGATCTGTTGAAGTTAAACATTAACACCTTTGGACGCTAGCTCAGTGGTCTACAGAATAAACGTTCGTGTGCGACACACAAGGTCCTGAGTTCGATTACCGCATAAAGGATCGTGCATATGAACTGTTGGGGAGTCACATACCAAGACGAAACGACCGTTAAACTGCTTCTAGGTTCTCAACTCTCATCTAGCTTAGATCGACCTATGAATCTAACTATTACAGTACTACAATCTTCATAAATCACCATTCTCATAAATTTATTTCAGTTCACATATTGCTTAGTGGCATAGAATGTCACACATTACTTATTTCAATGAATAAACAAAATCTCTCAAACAAATTCGTCCAAACTAATATTGTTGTAATGTACACAAATGTTCGTTGGATTTAGAGAAACACAGACAAAGAAACTATGAAAGCAAAATTCAACATTCTTCCTGTTAATTAAAACTAGTTCAAGCATAATTACCTCACAATAATTACCTCACAGTATAATCATGTGGAATTGATAAGGTTTCACATATCACGCATTGATTATCTATCTCATCTATATTATCATCTCTATTCATCACTTCTCACCTATTCTACAAGGTATAATTAAATTAATGAATGAATGTTTCTTATTAGAAGGCATATATACTGCACTGGTCAGGTCACATTTCCATCTTATATGACGGGTTCAATAAACAAGATAATATTGTTTGACTAATGGTGGTGATTCTTGTTCAACAGTCCATCCATTTTCTATTTCAATATAGTGATTATTCAGAGTGAAATTTGGCTTGATTTGCCTGTGTTCATATTTTATTCAATATAACATTAATTGATTTGATACATCATACATGTATTGTTGAATGAACATGGACAATGCTGAGTATGTCATGTAGTGTGTGATTTTGTTATCAGTTTGAATATTCTTCATATATGTGATCTCATTGTAATGAATAATCGAAATGGGTGTATGAATGAATATATTGACGAGTGGATATTCGACTCCAGCGGTTGTTGTTGTCTTGTTTTGGTGTTATGTAGTCTTCAGTTATAGATAGAAAGCTAATTAGAATATTCAGACGAAACTTTCTCACCTAAATCTGTCAATCAGTCAACTTATATCTACGAAACAGATTAGTGGTGATATCTACCTTCATTTTAGTGATTTGTACCATTCTTCTATATGTCAAGCCTCTCACACGATTTATCTCATATTCATATATATTTGAGGGAATTTCATGTCTGAACATTGTTCAAAACGTATGTTTCAAAACATCTGAATTACAAGAATAATTCTTATAACCTGAAGACATTTCGAAGCTTCTTCTTCATCTTCAGCAATAGGATTTTATTGTTTATCATCTATTAACAAACACCTCTCCTAACCCAGTAAGCATCAGATTACATACTAACTAACATACTACTTATTTCACGCTAATCTATGCACTGACAATCAAAATCAATCGACATTGGTATTCAATGAATTATTTAATGTTTCACAGATTCACAAGAATTACTCTCTTCTGGGTCAGTCAGTCACTCAAACTGAACGTCACTCACATACCGCATATTATCTTATGTTCCGATTGAAATTCTCTATACATAGACATTGAATGAGTTGTGTGAACCTATTGAAAAATAAACACATTAGATCTAATGTCTGTCCATTGTGATCCATTGTGTCCGTCACATACAACCGATTATTGACATTTGTCATCGTGAACAATGCACCGATCACATTGTTTGTGAATTAATCTAACGGACTTTCACAATATTGAGTTTAATTACACTTGGTGATCAAAATATCTATCCACACATCTATCTATCTATCTATCCACACAATCATCTATCTATCTATAGTGGTGTACTATCACAGATTGACATCACAATATACTCACCTCTAGATTATGTAGTTGGTTTCATATCTTCACTCATTCCTTTATTCTCTCAACCAAATCAGAATTTCCACTACGTCAACAGTACTGAACAGTCCACACTCATCAGATAATATTTGACATTTTAAAATGATCTGATCATTGAATTTATTTATGTCTCATGTAATCAGGCATTTTGTATGGTGTATTTCATTTCATTCATCAGAAATTTCTCGATCATTATCGTGTTTTATTACACACACACGTCCTGATCAAATGTTAGCAGATGACGTGTAGTAATACCATTGTTGCAATTATGTTAATCCTTCTTCCACACTCTCTTCACACTTCTATGGTGACTTCAATGAGACTAATGATTTAGCATTTCCAATATTATCACATTTATGCTTCATGCGTCAATGGAGTTCCGTCAACTCCAACTACATTGTTGCTTACTCAAAATGAGTGTTATTGTTTAATTGATATGTCGTTGCATATACTTCAAGATCACACAACTTTGGACATCATTGATAGTGTTGTTCAATAGTACGCCTCTTGTACATATCAATAATTTTCTGTGTTTCATTTCAAGTGATATTTGTTTGTTTATTGTTCGTTTTGTGTTTTACAACATCACGCGAGCTGATCCAATGTAGCTCATGACATGTAGCAATACCACTGTTGCAATTATTTTAATCCTTCTTCCACACTCTCTTCACACTTCTATGGTGTTGTTGATGTGATATTTGTTTGTTTATCTTTCGCTTTGTTAATTACATTGCATCTAAACCATTATTCATCATCAATGTGCAATTCTATCTCTATTACAGCAGAGTGTTATATTCTCTTGTAATGTTCGTGCCATCATATATTGTAACACTGAGGTGGTTACACGACCGATTCACTCATAATCTGCCTATTACCTACATTCTTCCATATGTTACGAGGACTATTGTAACACGTCGAAGAGGATTGAATGAAGAGAACAGAAATAGATCATAACTACAGAGAGCAAACTCAAATACTACTGACAATGTAAATGATACCAATCTAACCTAGTTATTACTCACAAAAGTGAGTTCAACTTTGTAATATGGTTGAAAAACTGAATTGGCATTTTCAATTTTATTAATTGAATTGAATGATACCAGAGCTATTTGGTCCACTCTTCATGAAGGCCTTGTGGTGGTCCGAAAAGTATATTAACCGAAAACAGCAATAAAGTTATTACGTCCAAACGTTAATGTAGCAATAAACAACACAAATAAAAGTTTAGGGACGTTACTTAAATCAGCAGGTTGGCGCGTGTCTTGTTGGTTTTGGTACCAGAATCCACAATTGTAGGTAAATAATAATTCCAATGAGACGATATGACTCCAGTTGTATATCCGAACGTAGAATGTAATGTGAATGTTACAACAGTCTATAAATATAGATGATTGTTAATTAATCGTTCCGTTATTATATCCACAAACATGATAGAACGAGAGATGTATGTATAAAAGTGTATTTGATTATGAGCAGTTAACTATGTCATGCTATGTGGGATTCAAAAACGGAAGGAACGATGCAAGTATTCAAGGTCATATACTGAAACAACAAGTGCAATCGATTAATGATAAATGTACTGATTGTGAGAATTGTCAAAACAAGTACAAGAGATATCAAAAACTATTTACAAAATAGGTTTATTAAGTCTATCTCCACAGCATAGAACTTGCTATTGTTATGGAAAAAACCGATTGTCGGCATGGAAGCCTAGCTATCTTAGAAAACATCACTATGTCAAATTTATTGGAATTTTCTTTTGAGAAACTACTTATCTTTACAAAGTTTAATTAGCTGATTATCCATAAGTATAGCATTTTGATTAAGTCAGTTTTGATAAACTGTTTGTCAGATAGCCAACATTCTAGATACTGTATTTGATCTCTATTGATTGAACAAGCAATCATTAAATGAAAAAGTAATGAACATCTTCATTAGAATCGTTCCTCATAGAACTGAATTCAAAACAAATTACAGTGTCAACAATATGCATAGTAGACACATATTGTGATATTCTACATAGATAAAAATAATATTGAAGATTTCATCATTTTCGCTACTCATTACGTAATAGGTAAGTGCATTGTTTACCATCTAAGTATATTTGACTCTATATTGATCTCACATCATACAACTCCATACCATTTTAATGATGTCGATGAACATTCTGACCATCAATATATAATACCCATTCATTAGATCTCTATACTGAATGACATAATTAGTTATTACTTATCATTTTGAAATCAGTAGTCATTTAATTGATGATATACAACTATTAAATAATCAATAGCAGTATCAAATCAGCATGATAATCAGTATTTAAAATGGGATAAATATGGGAATAACGATAAATGATTATGACCAATTAAAACGAAGTAACAGTGAATGGATTTTATACAATATCACCTCCATGAACTAATACTTGATTATATTGACAGACTGAATATCCCTGTTGAGAACATTGTAAACTGTGTGACTAAAAGTGATGTGGTAATCAATTGACTGAAGGAAATATTCACAAATACGTCGTGATATATTTTATGAAATTCAAACAATCTGTATCGAAATTCACTGATATTTATGATGAAATTACACGAACATAG